CCCCCACCCCCCGCCCGCTCCATCCCCTCTGTCATGGCAGTGGTCTGGTTCCCGTCGTCTCCCCCCTGACTTCACGGAGCAAGACAGGGTGGGGTGAGGCTAGCTCTGTTCAGCCCCTCCCCCCCACCACCCCAGCTTTGGCCCCTCAGTCCCTGCTGCCCTGCTGTCATGGTGGTGCTCTGCCATGTGTGTGTCTGTCCAAAGCACTCTGATTGGCTGCCGAGGCAACCAGTCAGAGTGCGAATCAAGGGTTATGGACAGACAGACTAAGGCTTTTATCATATTAGAATTTATTAAAATACACTTTGATACAAATCCTAGGGAAATTTCTTGCACAGTTTAAATTTAGACCTCAAAAATGTGTATTAACTTTATAGCTCATTGCTTTTGAGCTTTATTTTCCACATGTATCAGAGGCTTCTTCCCTTTGGCTGAGAGCCGCCAGGACACCCAGGTGCAGGGGTGGGTCAAGCCTAGCGTGAATGGCCCTTGAGCATCATGGCTACCATGATGCTCCAGGCCTAGGGGTCTCACACACCTCTCCTCAACTGAGGGGGCTCTCAGTCACAGGAGCTTGCTTCTTGCCAGTGCAGGGGGAGCCTGGGTTTGGGCTCCCCCTGCACTGGCAATAGGCATGATGGGATCTAATGCATGATTCCACAGTTGCCCTTCCTGCTGTGCACATGAGGCACAATTCTGTGTGGATCGCACATTAGATCTTGTCACATCTTTACCTGCACATGTAGAGGGGACCCCAGAAACGTAGTAGATGTTTTGGTGACTGTTCCATTTTTGCAGCCTTTATGTTCAAGTTCTGTTCACAAATTGCTTTTATTTGAATGTGCCTAATTCCCCATCTAAAAGCACAGTGTGTCTATGCTGGAGAAATAATTTCTAAAATACTAGATGTTATAGCAAACACGATATGTTCTTTGCAGATGTGAACTGATTTATTTAGTAGCATTGTAGTGGCAAGAGTGAATTGCATCTTGTGTTCCTTAGTGCTGATAAGCTGTCCTTGTGAAAACTGACTGCAAATAAATGAAAAGCTTGAGAACAGCTGAAGAAGCCTAGTGCAAACTTATGCAATAAATACAGAGAATAACAGGTGAGGGAAACTGCATGATAATAGAAAAGTCTGAAAGAACCAAAGGGGACATAACACAGCGCATGTTGAAGAAAACTTGGAATTGGAGAGGTAATATGAATTGTGTCCTAGAATAGAAACTGGACAAATAATGGCAACGAGACTAAAAGTATCAGCTAGCCATAAGTTCCCTTGCTGGTCATTTAAAGATCACAATCCCTTTTTCCACTTAATTTGCTGTGGTTTTGGCACAAATGTCAGTGGTCTGTTACAGGCTTTTTGTAATTATTGTATTTCAGGAAAGTTTGATATGATATACGCGTTGTTCTTGGAGATCTCATCCTTTTGCTTATTTTCTAAATATATTTTCAGCTTGCAGTCCAAGTGTCCTGAAACTGTAACTGAAGATACAAACAGAAATGAGACAAAGAAAAAACACAGAAAAAATGGAACAGTGAATTGTGAAGGAGACAGTAACTTGGGGGAGGTTGTGGATGATGCAGACGCTGCTGTGAGAGAATATGCAGAAGAACAAAATCCTGATGTTGTGAATGGATTATCTCATAAAAAAACAAAGAAGAAGAAAAAACATAAGCAAGAAAATCAAGAACCTGTGCTTCCTGGCAGTGACACTAGTGATTACCAGAGTGACCACAAAAAGGAAAAGAGAAAGAAAAGAAAATATTGTGAGGAAAATCATGAATTATCTCAGTTGACAGAAGAACCCAAAGCTACAAAGCGAAAGAAACAACACATAGACTGAAATTTAAAAGGGCTTTCTTTGCTTATGACTTTGTAAGTATTTGATAAACTGCTAATAAAATATTATTTTGATTATTTATGTATGCTTTTCAGCTTTTTGTCACCTACGATAGCAGTAAGATGTCCTAATTAAAGTCAGGGGGCCTGTAGGAATTAAACAACAGCAATAATAATCCCACAACCTGAGTGGGGAAGCTGCCAAACAAAGGAGGGTATTTCAGCCTCCACACTTCCTGGGAGCTTAGGCACCTAACATCCCTAGCCCAGAATCCTATTCTGAGCATAGGCATCTCCTTTCAAAGAACTGAGCAGGAGTGGTTTCTTAATGAGGCAGTATAAGAAGGTGCTGTTGCTTTCCCCTTTTTATATTGCAGTCTAGTAATTACACCACTTTCCTAAGAAATAGAGGAGACCTGGGATCAAGGCTCTCTTCAACCTGGCAAGCTTCAAACCTACATCTACCTCCCCAGCAAGTGCCCAAATCCCCAGGCCCTAGACTAGGCTGAGTAGGAGCAGTCTTTGCCCTTCCTGTGGAAGTTGAGTCTTTGTATGAAGGATTGCAAGATGGGGCTGTGAATAGAGAAGTTTTGTACCCAACTGGTCGGGGCACTTGGGAGTTCAGAGTTCCTCACATAAATGGAGGATTTTTTAATTTGCCATTTTGGACTTGTGTGCCTAAAACCTAACCAAATCCTGTCTCGGATGCCAATCTCCTAGGGAAGCAGCTGAAGGCCTTCGCAATTGAATCTGGTTTGTTCTGTCTTTTAATCACAAAACCATTTTTCCCTTTGTACACAGTACAGAGCAGACTCCAATGCAGCTTTTAATTTCTTGAATTTGAAGAAATTCCTCCCTTTTTCCCCCCAGAAAGAGAAGGGAGCATGTCTGAAGTATGCTCTTGCTCTGGAAACTCTTTAAAGAGTTAAACAGGGAGTTTATTCCAAAATAAACCTGAACCCTTCTCTTGGGGAACAGGGCATTCCATTCACTTGTGGAGCTGATGAGCAGGGCTTCTGGTTTTCTGGACAAATTTAAAAATTGCAGATTCTCTGATAACCTCCAAATTCTCTGATTTAAAAACCACAGTATCTGTTTTTCCATGATTAAAATGAAATGCCACTATATAGGTATCAGTTAAACACACAATTTTATTGCTGTATTTACAATTGTGAAGCAATTTGGAAGCTATCAGTGCCTCAGTCGCTATATAAGAAAAAAAATCTGAATACCTATAAATTTTGACATTTGATTTTGGGTTTTTATCATGGCAAATCAGCTCTCCCTACACCTTTCATCCACCAGGACATGGGTCCAGCTGCAGTTGTCTCCTTGTTTCCCCCTCCCCCAGTTTTGTGTTACTGGAGGATATGTACCTTTA